CCTTCCTTCCTTCCTTCCTTCCTTCCTTCCTTCCTTCCTTCCTTCCTTCCTTCCTTCCTTCCTTCCTTCCTTCCTTCCTTCCTTCCTTCCTTTTTTTTAGACAGTATCTCCCTCGGTAGCTGTAGCTGAGCTGACCTAGAGCGCAGACAAAGTTGGCCTCAAACTCAAAGAGATCCTCCTGCCTCTGCTTCTCAAATGCTCAGAATTAACTTCTAGGTTTAGATTTATAGCTGTGAACATGACCCTGCCGCGTAGTGGTGCACGCTTTAAATCCCAGCACTCGGGAGAGAGAGGCAGACGGATCTCTGTGAGTTCAAGGCCAGCCTGGTTTATAGAGCTAATTCTCGGACAACCAAGGCTACACAAAGAAACTCTGTCTCAAAAAACCAAACAAAAACAAAAAGATACATGACCACCTGTGAACAAAGGTAAACATTATTGTATATACTAATCTATAGATTTTGATGAATTTACAGCATCCTGAGAAAATTAAGCACATAAAAACAACTTAGGGGCCAGTGAGAGGGCTCAACAGGTAAAGCAGTTGCCCTGCTAGCCTAGTGACCTGATTCCCATCCCTAGACTGCAGATAAAGGTATAAGGAAAAAGCGGACTTCATAAAGTTGACCCTTGGCCTCCACATACATGTATACACATATACCCTGCACACACATACACGCCACTAATAATAACATTTAAAAAAGGAATTGGTGGGCTGGGAAGATGGCTGGGAGGTTAGAGCTTAAGCTAGAAGCCAATTGCATTTCAGATCCCAGAATACCAGAACAGAGGTAATTCCAGCCTCCAAAGTCAGGGACAGAGGCTTCAGTGAGCAAGCTGCTTAGTGAGACCCACACTATCCCTGGGTCTCCACACACGTGCACACACACACACACACACACACACACACACACACACACGAGCATTCATACGTTTACATGGGTGCATACCACACACATGAAAAACAAATGTAAGAACATGAAGCCTGGGAGTATCGCTTAGTGGTAGAACACTACCTAACATTTGAACCCTGGATTGGAGTCTGGCTCTACCAAAATAAATAAGTGCATAAATAAATAAGTATATAAATAAAATTGGGTGGGACGGCTTCTCTTGTAGGACAAGTTTTCAAATCCTTGCTTCTTCCCACATGTGTGTCCTTCCCTCCTGTAGAAGATGCGTATAAGATCCGGATCCGCATCGACGATGAGCCTGCCAATCTGGACATTCTGGATACAGCTGGGCAGGTACTAAACCCCAGAACCTCTAGGAAGGGGGGCAGCGTTCTGTGGACAGTATCAATTAGTTTGTCTCTGTTAGTTTTTCATGCGCGGCCTCAGGACGGCAGGTCATAGACACGATGTTGCTTTACTCTGAAGTGGTCAGGGTGTGCGCAGGCCCAAGTTGCAGCAATGCATTATGGGCCTCTGTTTCCCTCCAGGCGGAGTTTACAGCCATGCGGGATCAGTATATGAGGGCAGGAGAAGGGTTTATCATCTGTTACTCCATCACGGACCGTCGCAGTTTCCACGAAGTTCGGGAGTTTAAACAGCTGATTTACCGCGTCCGACGCACTGATGACACACCCGTGGTTCTCGTGGGAAACAAGTCCGACCTGAAGCAGCTGAGACAGGTAAGAAGGAAGGCCTGGCACGGGCAGCCACTGCTTTCTGGAAGATTGCTTTGCCTCCAAATAGAAAATGACAATTAGCCTCTCCCTAGCCTTGGGAATGTCCCTCTAGCTATTAATTTCCTGTTATTATAGGTAAAATCTGGATTTTTAGAAACCAGTGCACAGGGTTTTAGACACATAATACGCTATCTGTGTCTTAAACCTGTACGCTAAGCATTTAACAGGCTTGGCAAGAGGATCGCCATACATTTGAGGCCAGCCTAGGCTGTGTAGACCGAGGCTCAGCCCTTCAGTCGATTAGCAAACAAAGAGATGCCAACAGAGTACTCATTACGTAAAGAATCATGAGCTGCTAGTTTCCTGAATCTTCAGAAATGATGTTTGGATATGCTTTAGTTGGTAGAGCCTAGATACACAGGGGCCTGGGTGCAATCCCCAATACCGCAAAAAAAAAAAAAAAAAAAAAATTTAAATATATGCATTGGTATTTTGCCTACGTGTATGTCTGAGTGAGGGTGTCAGGTCAGTTAAGGACAGTTGTGAGTGGCTATGCGGGTGCTGGGATTTGAACCCAGTTCCTTTGGAAGAACAGCCAGTGCTCCCAATCACTGAGCCATCTCTCCAGCCCCCACCACAAAAAAAAAAAAAAAATTAGAAGTAGCGCTCATTGACACGAGGTCTCAGTAGTGAAGGCGCTTGCTTGCCTTGTAAACCCGCTGGCTGAACTGAATCCTTAAAATCCACATAAAGATAAAAGAGAATCAATCCCACAAAGTTGTCTGTTGATCTTCACACAGGTGCTGGGCGCCCTCACACACACCTTGTACACACATACACACAACAAATAAGAGCTTTCAAAATAATAAAATCAGGCTGGGCGGTGGTGGCGCACGCCTTTAATCCCAGCACTCGGAGGCAGAGCCAGGTGGATCTCTGTGAGTCCGAGGCCAGCCTGGGCTACAGAGCGAGATCCAGGAAAGGCGCAAAGCTACACAGAGAAACCCTGTCTCGAAAAAACCAATAAAATAAAATAAAACTAATTAAAACTTCGGTTTGGAGAGCTAACTAAACATTTAAGAACACCAGCTGCTCTTGCAGAGAACTTATGCTCCACTCCCAGTACCCACGTGGTGTGGCTCAGAACCATCTGTACTCCAGTTCCAGGGGATCCGATACCTCTGGCCTCCAAGGGCACCAGGTGTGTACATGGTTCACAGACATACATATAGCAAAGCAGCCATACACATAAAATAATCATAATCCAGGATATAAATAAGACCGGGCGGTGGTGGCGCACGCCTTTAATCTCAGAACTCGGGAGGCAGAGGCAGGTGGATCTCTGAGTTCGAGGCTAGCCTGGGCTACAAAGTGAGTTCCTGGATAGTCAGGGCTACCCAGAGAAACTCTGTCTCAAAAAACAAACAAACAAAAAAAGCAAAAGTATAAAGAAAACTATCATTATCAATATCTGTATTTACTTGATATTGCTTGATATCTGTTCCAAAAGGTTACCTTGAAAAGTGACTTGGTTTAGTCAGTAAAGTGCTTGTAAGAGGGTCTGAGTCCAGTTTTTTTTTTTTTTTTTTTTTTTTTTTTTTTTGTTGTTGTTGTTGTTGTTTTGGTTTTTTGAGACAAGGTTTCTCTGCGTAGCCCTGGCTGTCCTGGATCTCACTCTGTAGACCAGGCTTGAACTCACAGAGATCTGCCTCTGCCTCCTGAGTGAGGGATTAAAGCTGTGCATCACCACTGCCCTGCTGGGTTTTAGTTTTTTGTTAGTTTTTAAAGCCAGGCATGGTGGTGTGTGCTTATAATCCAACACTGGGGAGATGGAAACAGGCAGAGCCCTGGGGTTTGCCGGCGTGGTAAGCTCCAGGCCAGTGAGAGACTTTGTCTCAGAAAAGAAGAAAGGCGGGCTGATGTGTAGTTCAGTTGGTAGAGTGTCTGCTTAACATGCAGGAAGCTGGGTGTGCGACAGAGGCAGATGGATCTTTGAGTTTGAGGCTAGCCTGATCTACAAAACAAAGTTCCTGGGCAGCTGGGGCTACACAGAGAAACCCTGTCTTAAAAAAACAATTTAACAAAATTATGCGGGCTTTATCCCTAACACTGCATAAAACCAGTGGTGGTACATTCCTGTAATTCAGTCGCTCCAGAGGTAGATGAAAGACTTGTAAGTTCAGACTCATGCTTGGCTAGCCTCGACTACAAGAGACTCGGTCTTTTAAAAAAAAAATCTGGAAAATACACTGGAAATAGAATCACGTGCTTTGGAGTCATGTAGTGCACTCCGTGGCCCCTCAGTCCCGGGGCTGTGTTCTCTGCTGCCCTCTCCATGGGGACCTCTGTCCCAGGGACGCCCGGTTACTCTTCCCGACAGTTGTCACTGCAGCCCGCTACTCACTTTCTCATGTTTGTGCCTTTGAAGGTCTCCAAGGAGGAGGGCTTGTCTCTGGCGAGAGAATTCAGTTGTCCCTTTTTTGAGACCTCTGCTGCCTATCGTTATTACATCGATGACGTTTTCCATGCTCTTGTACGGGAGATACGTAAGAAAGAAAAGGAGTTAGTGTTGGCCATGGAGAAAAAGTCGAAACCCAAGAGCAGCGTGTGGAAGAGGCTGAAGTCACCGTTCAGGAAGAAGAAAGACTCGGTAACTTGAGGGAAGTGTGAAGCATCTTCTGTGAACTGCGGCGCTGCTCGGGGCAGTCCAGCAATCTGCAATAATGAGCGCATGCTGTTTGCTCCTCTCCACTATTCTAAATGTCACTGGTGAGGGGGACATGTCCACCAGGAGTTTTCAATGATTCACTATTTAAAGTCCTGTCTTAGTTGACTCTGATTTATTAGCCCATCAGAGCTCTGTCTTCTCCTTCATCGTCACATTAGAATTTGGTCTGCCATTGTTTTGGTTATATTATTGATGTAAATTAGTTTGTGTAAATCGTTTATGCCCGGGAGATTGTGTATACCGTGTGCACTTGACTGTGTTTACAAAAGGAGCTTCGTGCTGTGTGCTCCTCGCCGACCTTCAACTTGAGCTCTCTGGCTCTGTCTCCCAGAAGGACCTCGGCCTTGTTTTCCCACACTGTACATCTTGGAGACAGAGCAAAAACCGAACAGGGAAACTAATGCTGAAGAGATTGGGGCTGAAGGGGAGTCAGGGTCTGGGGAATGGACTCCTGTCGTGGATTATGGAGGGACGAGGTTTAGGGAGATAGATACCACTGTATCCACACAGAAGACGACTGGAAACTTCCAGAGTCAGCAGAGTTCCCACGAGGAGCCTGAGAACTGCACATTTGACCAAAGGCACTCAGGAGGTGAGAGAGCCAGAAGCGGAGACAGAATGGAGGTTTCTCCTTAGCACACTGCACTCTCCTTCCACTCCTGACACTTTGAGAACAGCTTCTGGCTCTGGGACCATTACAAGATCACGCGATTCTTCTTTAAACCCTTTGTGGGGCGAGGCATGGTAGCTCATTGCTGTATCCTTCTAAGGCTGAAGCAGGAGGATTGCCGTGGGTTTGAGGCTAGCCTGGGCTACAGAATGCAAGCCTGTCTCAGAAAAAACAAAACCAAAAATAAATAAATAAATAAATAAACAAATAAATAAATAAATAAGTTCTTTCTTAGGACAGGTATACCACATGCCTTATCCAGGTTTCTTTCCCCTTTGAAGAACTGGGCCTGCCCAAATGGTTTTTAGGCCCTTCTTTAGACAGATGGTATTGTCCAAAGGGAAGAGGCATCAGGAGTCGGAGTAAACTTGTTAGATGTTCCCTTGACCTCAGCAGTCATTAGACTCAGGGCTGAAGGTCTGTGGTGTTTCTGTTTGATGGACCAGTCTTGAAGCTTTCAGAGTCACACGCGTAAATTGGTTTCATCATCTGAGGAGTTCCTCAGAGTTGTCAGCACTCTGCCTTCGAGAAGACCACCGCTCCCGAATGTGGTTGAGACTCTAGTCTTGGAGGAGACAGCTTTATCCATTAGTGGTGAGCTCTGTCTTGGGGTCAGGATTCTCTAGCTGTCTGGGGTGCTGTGTGAGATGCGTTCGGGAGAGTCAGGTCCTGTGTGAGGCGGTCACTCGAGGTCCGGGTGACACTGCTTCAAAGCTGCCACTCAGCTTCCCGCTTCCCCTGGTAAAGGAATGGCAGATGTCCCAGCTCCCAGGAGGAGCCATGGCTGCAACTTTTATAATTTTGGGTAGTTGTCTTTTTGAAAGCCCTGGTAACTTTTGCTACTATTCAAAATGTGTTTTTAATATTCAAGCCATCAAAAAATGAAAGACCCAAATTCAAGTCTATGCAACCTGTAACATTTCGGAGAAGCAGCAAAATAGGTAGCAAACACAGCACCGATCTCTGTGAACAGTATCTCACCTGGATAAGGACTTTGAGACCGAATGCCTTCGCTGCCTATTATTGATGGTCTACGGGGCTGTCATCAGTGCCAAGCAAGGAGTTGACAGCTACAGCCACTCAAGGTTGTCACGGCAATAGAAAACATTGCTGGAAAGAAAGGCCTGTACTGTAAGACAGGCAAGTTGCGTTCTGTGTGAGGGGAGCAGCAGTGAGTGTTTTTAAGGCTATCCTGTGAGACATTTCATCCTAAGATGGTCCCTTAATTCCCAGTGAGCATTGTATTCCTAGTGCTAGATAGCAGCAGGGGTACGGCGGTGTGAGCTGGAGCCCCTCCTCAGCGGCAGGGGTGCGGCGGTGTGAGCTGGAGCCCCTCCTCAGCGGCAGGGGTGCGGCGGTGTGAGCTGGAGCCCCTCAGCGGCAGGGGTGCGGCGGTGTGAGCTGGAGCCCCTCCTCAGTGGCAGGGGTGCGGCGGTGTGAACTGGAGCCCCTCCTCAGCGGCAGGGGTGCGGCGGTGTGAGCTGGAGCCCCTCCTCAGCGGCAGGGGTGCGGCGGTG